TATATCAGTTACTTTTCGTGGTCATATATTATATTAGATAATATCATTTAAAGTATTAAAGGTTTAAATTATTATGTTACATTATTAGATAATCATTTTAATTTAGAAAGGTTCAAATTTTTGGGGTTAATTTTCAAAGGTTGAAATTTATTGGGCTTTCGATTTTGTGGTTAGGTAATCGTTTTAATTTAGGAAGGATCAAATTTTTGCGGTTAGTTTTCAAAGGTTTAAATTTGTTGGGTTTTTTAATTCGCGAGAATCTATTCTTGAACATGGCTTGACCTTTTCATTTTAATGATATGTTAGGATTAATAATATATCAGTTACTTTTCGTGGTTAGTATATTATTATTAGATAATCGTTTAAAGTTTTAAAGGTTTAAATCTTCGATATATTGTAGACGTATATATTTTAATAGTACATATAATTTTTTTAAACATTATTAAAATAAAAATATTTATTATACATTATATACATACCTCAATTGTGCATTATTTATATTATATGATATGGTTGGTTTAGGATATCACTTACTTTTCAGAGTACAATTATATCTCAAATATATATAAAAAATAACGAAAGAGTGAAATACGGCGAAAGAGAGAGGTAGTGGAGGTGGTTGGTGGAGATAGGGGGAGGAGATCCGGTGGGTCGAAGGTGGTGGAGGTGTGAGTGAAAGGTGAAACAAGATGTTTATCATTATTAGATAATATCATGCGCGGTGCGGTGTTGTGAGGGAAACAGCGAAAGCTAGACGTAAACGATTCGAAAATCAACCGAAAGTTGCACTGTCCCCCTCACCGCTCCGCGTGCAGTCGAAATGCCCCATTAAAGTCAAATGGTATTATTGTGCGCCCGGAGCGATGAGGTGAGGGGAACATCGAAAGTTAGACGGAGGCGATTCGGAAATCAGCCAAAAGTTGCATTTTCCCCCTCATCGCTCCGCGTGCAGTCGAAATGTCCCATGACAGTCGAATGGCATTGTTTTTTTCCGTGATGCGATATGATGAGGGGGACAGCGAAAGCTACACATAAACAACGCGAGCAATCGAAATGCTCCATTACAGTCGAATGGTATTGTTCTGCGCTCGGAGCGGTGAGGTGAGGGGAACAGCGAAAGCTAGACGAAGGTGATTCAAAAATCAGCTGAAAGTTGCATTTGCCCAACCCTTCCCACCTCATCTCATCGCGTGCAGTCCAAATGCTCCACGATGATCAAATGGCATTGTTCTACGCGTGGAGCGGTGAGGTGAGGGGGACAGCTAAAACTACACGTAAACTATTCGAGAATCTACCGAAAATTGCATTGTCCCCCTCACCACACCGCACCGCGTGCATTCGAAACACCATGACAGTCGAATGGCATTGTTCTACGCGCGGAGTGGTGAGGTGAGGGGGATAGCGAAAGCGTATATTATGATTATTTATCTCTGAAATTTTGTAGTATGTGCGCAACATAAACTATAGCATGTTTAAACGCTAATATCGTTGTAAGTGCGTTCTGAATACGGGGCTCTATGTTTAAAAAACGCATCACCATTAGTACCTCTAGGATGATGTGAAAAACTATAACAACAGAAAGCGGAGGCGATCGGTCGAAAGTTATATACACTTTATGTATGTTCACTTTGTACTGGCATCTTTAATAAATAATCAGATGTTAAAATTTCTTTTCATGGTTGTTATTATATTAATATACAATTTAGTCACATAAAAGACTATTTAAAAAACGAAGGTTACAGTACCAGTTATGTAATTAATTCTTTAAATTTAATTCTTTAAAGAATTAAACGTTCTTTATAACTTCCATTTTTAAGAAATTAAATTATTATTTAAAACAGATGTTTTTAGTAAAAAAGGAAATTTTTATCAAAATTTGTTTGGAATTTCGGCGCGCTTTTCGCAAGAGCGTCCCGCCAATCGTAACGCCACGGGTTTGCGCTGACAGCGCACTCAACGAAAAGTCGACCGGCCAATTATAGGCGGCCAGCGTATACCGCTTCCGCCTATGATTTTAAAGTCTGAGCGGTGTTTATTATACACTTATTCTTCACCTTTTGATTTCTAGAAGTTTCATTATTTTTATTGTTCGTCCTTTCGACGAGTAAAAATTCAGTTTAACGGAAAAGAAGCTTCTAGATTTCAGAAGGGAACAAAACCAAGCGCACGGAGACGCGAGTCGCAGTCGTCTCTTAGACTTCTTCGTCAAAATTCACAATGTCAAACGCGTACGATTTCAGCCTGACGCTGGCTATTTCTCGCTGTACAGAATTTGTCTGTGAATAGAATAAACGCAATTAGTTCTACTTCTTAATTTTTCTTTTATTCACGCGCTCCTTCCTCCATCTCGTCAATTTCGCACATTTTATGGTCCTTCGAGCCGGATTCGTTGTCGCGATCTCGTCGTTATCTTCATCGCGAGTGAGCAAACTCCTGGTGCGTCGAGTGTTCGTGGCAGTGGAATCTAAAAAAGTGAGATGGAGCAATTACTTTCTGCTCAATTGCAAATCCATGGGCGCATCGCCCGTACGATGGAAAATCTCAAGAAGGCGGGAGCCGCCAATATCGGCGTGACCATGGTGCAGTCTTCCCTCTCACTTCTTGAGTCCAAGTAGAAGAGAGCTGAGGAACAACACTACGAAGTGAAGTCATTCGGAAAAGCACTCGAGAATCACGAATATTTTACCAACGATTTCTTAAGCAAAATCGAAACCGTATACATTCAGCAGCGTGCGCAGTTGCTGAATCTAGAAAGGACCTTGAGTGTGGCTGCCTCTGACACGGAAGTCAAGCCCGCTAATTCCGACATGATTTCTCTGCGAAACACGCTGCCTCGGATTCCTCTGCCTCAGTTTTCCGGGAAGTTCGAGGATTGGCCGGCCTATCGTGACCTTTTTGAGTCGCTCGTCATCACGGAACCGTCACTGTCGAACATAAAGCGGTTTCAATACTTAAAGAGCAGTGTGAAAGGTGACGCAGAGCAACTCATAATAAGTTTTCCTACCACGTCGGAGAATTTCGATCGCGCATGGACGACCTTGACTGATCATTACGAAAATAAACGGTTACTTCTGCGTTCATATCTCTCAGCTTTCACATCGCTTGGAAGGATGAAGCACGATTCTGTCGCTGACATTCGTCGAATCTTCAATCGGATGATAACTACTGTCGGAGCGCTGGAAGGAATCGGACGTCCTCTCACCAATTGCACGGACCTTTTCGTGCACCTCATCGTCGAGCTTCTTGACGATCGAACTAAACAGGAGTGGGAAAAACTGTTTACGAAAAAATCAGACCCACCTTCCTATGAGCAGCTGCGTGACTTTCTCGAGAATCAGGTGCTGAAGCAAGGTGTGCTCCGTCCCAAGGCCTCACAAGGCTCTTCCGGGAAGTCCTCGGAGAAGATCACTCGTTCGTTGCGTACTCAGCAGCAGCCTAAGCGTGGAGCGGAGTCCAACCGGAATTGCCCTATCTGCAATCAGGAACACTATATTATGATTTGTGAGCACTATAAGTCACGAACACCGCAAGAGCGTAAGGAAATTGTGAATACTCATCGCCTGTGCATGAACTGTCTAGAACGTCACAAACTCACGGAGTGCCCGTCAACGAAGCACTGCGGTAAATGTACAGCTCGGCATCACACGACGTTGCACGAGGCGTTTGTCGATGCCACTACAATTTCCGCTGTTGCAATCCACGTGACAGATCGGCCGACGATTGAGTGCACACCTGTGTTGCTCGCGACCGCGCGCGTTCTAGTGACCGATAGTAGTGGTGCTCTGCAAACAGTTCGAGCATTAGTTGATCCCGGGTCGGAAACGTGCCTCGTGGCGGAGTCCTTGGCGCAGCGGCTGCGTCTGCCTCGCACACCAACAGCAGTGGCGATCTACGGTGTCGGCGGCCAGCAGACCGGTGTTTTGCGAGCACGAGTCTCTCTTTCGCTCACGTCGCGTGTCACTGCCGTATCCATGAAGATCTCCGCTCTCGTCTTCCCGCGTATCACGGACTACGGTGGTGTTGCTGATCGACGCAGCTGTGCATGGGCTCACTTACAGGGCCTTGAACTTGCAGATCCTGAGTTTTACAATCAGGATCCTGTAGAACTTTTACTGGGCGCAGACGTGTACGCCTACATTGCGTTGTCCGGCATACGGAAGGGCGGTTCATTTGAGCCCATCGCTCAAAACACTCAGATCGGCTGGGTTCTATTGGGCGCCGCAGGTGTTAGCAACGCTTGTTCAATCGGCTTGGTCACCTCCTTGTGCTGCTCACCGGCGGACGAGCTGAACTCCCTGGTGCGTCGGTTTTGGGAGCAAGAAGAGTTGCCGCAAGCGTCGGCACCGTGGTCTCTCGAGGATCCCGAGTGTAAAGAACACTTCCAGCAAACACACACACGAGACTCCACTGGTCGTTATCAAGTGCGCCTTCCAGTGCGATCAAGCTTAGTTGATCTGTCGGCCACTCGTCGCATGGCCGTAAGAATGCTCGCCGTGATGGAACGTCGCTTTGTCCGCGAACCGACATTCCGCGATCGCTATTGCAACTTCATGCGCGAGTATCTGTCGCTCGGTCACATGTCCTTCGCCGTGCCATTGTCGTCGGACGAAGTGCGAGTGTGTTTTCTACCGCATCATGGTGTGCTCAAGGGAACAGGTAGCGAGGAGAAGATCCGGGTCGTCTTCAACGGATCGGCGAAGATCCTTGAAGGGAGCTCCTTGAATGACAGTCTACTGCCCGGGCCAAATCTATTACCTGCTTTGTCGGACGTGATTTCTCGCTGGCGGTGTCATCGTTTCGTTGTCTCCACTGACATCGAGAAGATGTACCGCCAAATCAGGGTACATCCAGAAGACCGCAACTTACAGCGGATTCTATGGACAGAAAATGGACAGCCATTAGAGTTCCGTCTGAACACCGTTACGTATGGTCTTGCCTGCACTCCATACCTGGCGATTCGAGTGCTGCGACAGCTGGCTGACGACGATGGAAAGGAGTTCCCCTTGGCTGCGGAGGCACTGAGGCGAGACACCTACGTGGACGACATCCTTTCTGGAGCTGCGTCGTTGACAGAGGCAAGGACGCTGACGGATCAGCTGGTGAAGCTCTGCATGGCGGGCGGATTCCCGCTGAGAAAGTGGTCCGCCAACCACCCTACCTTGATCCAGGATATTCCTACAGAGTATCATAGCAGGAAGCCTTCCAACAATTTTGTTGCCTCCTGAAGGTCAACTGGTCTTGGGCCTGCGTTGGGAATCGAAGAGCGACTGTTTCGCATTTACCGTGCATACGTCAATCGAGGAATCGTTAACAAAACGATTGCTCCTTTCGAACGCGTCTCGCTTGTTTGATCCACTGGGTTGGTTGGCGCCAGTTACAGTTCGAGCCAAGCTGATCATCCAATCAGCATGGTTGCAGCAACTCGGGTGGGATGAACCATTGCGTGACGAGGAGGCGGCAGCATGGACTTCCTTGAGGGACCAACTTCCCTTACTAGAGGACCTACGAGTGCCACGATGGATGCACGTCGACTCGCCAGGAGTCAAAGTCGAAATTCATGGCTTTTCAGATGCCTCGGAGCGAGCTTATGGTGCAGCCATATACCTCCGGACACTCAGCGGTGAAGACATCACCACCTCCTTGGTGATGGCAAAGACCAAGGTCGCACCGTTGAAACGAGTGTCACTGCCACGGCTGGAGCTGTGCGCAGCGTCCATTCTCGCCAAGCTTGCTGCTCACGTAGCTTCCACGCTCGGCTTAGTGGATGCCGAGACACATCTATGGACGGACTCCACCGTGGTTTTGGCCTGGATCCGAGGACATCCTGCAAAATGGACAACCTATGTGGCCAATCGAGTGGCAGAAATTCAGAGGACAATGTCAAAGGTCACTTGGCACCACGTACCTGGGCGAGATAATCCTGCTGACTGCGCTTCGAGGGGGCTCTCACCACGTGAGATGCTTTCTCACTCGTTATGGTGGCGTGGCCCGAACTTCTTATGTAACGAAAAGTCGGAATGGCCTTTGGAACCCGGCTCTTCGTCCTTGAAGAACTTACCGGAACAACGGACCGGACCATGTCTCGTTGCGACAGGATTGAAGGAACCGGAGGAGCTGACTCGATTCTCTTCGTGGCAACGATTGATCCGCGTCACCGCATGGATTCTACGTTAGAGGAGGCGAAGTTCTCATTCATCAGGACCACCAACACAGAGTCCCGTCCTCGTCTTGACTCCAGTCGAACTGGAACGATCGACGCAATCATGGATTCGGATGGTGCAGTCAATTGAATGGCATGCTGAGCTGGACACCATCGTCGCTGAACGGAAGGTACCCCCTCGCAGCTCGCTTCACAAACTCTCGCCAAGGATTGATGACCATGGTGTACTGCGTGTAGGCGGTCGACTAAAACATGCAGTGCTGAGTGAGGATCAACGCCATCCTGTGATCCTGCCTCCGGGATCTCACTTAACCTACTTGGTTATTGATGCCTTTCACCGTCGCACTCTCCACGGGGGCGTTCAGGCGACCTTGACAGCCATCAGAAGACACTTCTGGATACCTCGAGGACGACAGCTGGTGAAGCGTCACATCCATAGGTGTGTGCAGTGCATAAGATGGCGGGCAGCTTCTCCGCAACCAATGATGGGCAGTCTTCCGAGGTCAAGAGTGACGCCCAGTCGGCTCACACACCGGCGTGGATTTTGCAGGACCGATCCTACTGAGGACATCCAAAGGCCGAGGTCACAAGGCCTACAAGGGATTCCTGGCCGTTTTTGTGTGTTTTAGTTCCAGGGCTGTACATTTGGAAGTGGTGAGCAACTACACCACTGAAGCTTTTCTTGCAGCTTTCCGCCGCTTCACAGCTCGACGCGACCTGTGCCAGACGGTTTACAGCGACTGCGGAACCAATTTCGTGAGAGCAGACGCCCAGCTTCGCGCCTTGTTTGACGTTGCCAGTCAAACCGCTCACAACATCATCGGGAAGCTGGCCACAGAAGGGATTCGGTGGCACTTTAACCCGCCAGCCGCTCCGCATTTTGGTGGTTTGTGGGAAGCAGCGGTGAAGTCAGTGAAGCACCATCTCAGACGAGTCATTGGCCACACTCACCTTCGAGGAGATGGCTACATTCTTGACAGAGGTGGAAGCCTGTCTGAACTCGCGTCCACTTCAGGCCTTGACGGATGATCCGGAAGACCTTGACGTATTAACTCCGGGGCATTTCCTCATTGGAGCTCCTCTCATCGCAATTCCGGAACCATCCTTACTAGACACTCCTTCTAATACGCTGAGTCGCTGGCGCCTCCTGCAAAGTATGCGAGATCATTTTTGGCATCGATGGTCTCAGGAGTACTTACAGGGACTCACTCCACGACCGAAATGGTGGAAGGTTGCAGAAAACTTACAGGAGGGGCAACTGTGTCTCCTGAAAAACGAGAATACGCCTCCATCTCGATGGCCGCTGGCTCGGATAATTCGCCTGCATCCAGGAGACGACGGCCAGGTACGCGTGGTGGAAGTACGGACCCCAGTCAGTCGGCTGATTCGACCTGTCGTAAAGATTGTGCCCTTGCCGCTTGCTGGGGAGGACCGAACCGCTTCACAAGGTTAACGCATTCCTGCAACTCTCGCGGTGTTGTGACACCAGTGGCATTATCGTTGTAAATATTTCAAATAGTATATATTAGAAACTTACCTTGTAAAGATTTTTTCGTGTTCATTTGTTGCTCGATCTATTTTTTTGTTTCTTTGGTCTCGTTGTTTCGTATATCTTACTATTACGAATTATTGTCGTGCAACCAATTTGAATCATTTATGTTAAACGTGTATTTCATACTTACGTTATCACGCGATTTCTTGTTACGCTGTCTCAAGTACTCCGCGTCCAATTTGTCACTGGCTTCAACCTTCTATCATAACTGCGCTCAGAATTAAGCTGGAACCACTTGGTTATCACGCACAATAATGTCGTACGAAAAGCACTTTCACTTGTGTATCAATCAGCTGTTCGGCTCGTTCACGCGGTTACTACATGCGCGCTCCGCGTGCCACGAATCGAACAGGTGAGTGACCAGCGCTATACTTATCGATACTTGCGCCATCAATGCACATTTAGAATAACAATGTTGTCGATAATTAGCTATACCCGACGAGGCGGGCGGGATGATTGGAATTTCGGCGCGCTTTTCGCAAGAGCGTCCCGCCAATCGTAACGCCACGGGTTTGCGCTGACAGCGCACTCAACGAAAAGTCGACCGGCCAATTATAGGCGGCCAGCGTATACCGCTTCCGCCTATGATTTTAAAGTCTGAGCGATGTTTATTATACACTTATTCTTCACCCTTTGATTTCTAGAAGTTTCATTATTTTTATTGTTCGTCCTTTCGACGAGTAAAAATTCAGTTTAACGGAAAAGAAGCTTCTAGATTTCAGAAGGGAACAAAACCAAGCGCACGGAGACGCGAGTCGCAGTCGTCTCTTAGACTTCTTCGTCAAAATTCATAGTGTCAAACGCGTACGATTTCAGCCTGACGCTGGCTATTTCTCGCTATACAGAATTTGTCTGTGAATAGAATAAACGCAATTAGTTCTACTTCTTAATTTTTCTTTTATTCACGCGCTCCTTCCTCCATCTCGTCAATTTCGCACATTATTTATTTTATAATATGTTTCTTATTTTTAAATTCGTGATACGAGTCAGCAATCGGAAATATTTAAAATAATAATTTTATCATTCAGTTCATATGAGAATGTACGCTTTAGAGATATATTACTTCTATTTCTAAATATTTAATGAGGGGTACAGCGGAAAGCGGCGGCGATTCGAAAATCGGCCGAAAGACACACACTTTACGTATGTTCACTTTGTACTGGCAACTTTAATAATTAATAATCAGTTACTTTTCGTGATAATATATTATTACAATTTGACTCGTGATAGTACTGCGATAGTTTTAAATATACGTCATATCGGTCAGCAGTTGGTAGTATTTAAAATAATAGTTTTATTTAATATGTATGTTAAAAAGTTGTAATGAAATACGGTGCAAAACAAGGGTGGTGAGGGTGGGTGGAGGGGGAGGGGAAGGGGCGAGTGGAGGAGGTCCGGTGGGTCGAAGATGGTAGAGGTGTGAGTGGAAGGTGGAGAGGATGTTAAAATGTTGTAACAACGAAATATAGTGAAATACGGTGAAAGAGAGTGGCGTTGTATGTGATGGTAGGGGGAGGGGGAGGGGCGAGTGGAGGAGGTCCTGTGGGCCGAAGATGGTGGAGGTGCTAGTGAAAGGTGAGAGAGGATGTTAAAAAATTGAAATAACGAAAGAGTGTTAAATACAGCGAAAAAGGATGTTGAAAAGTTTAAAAATGCGGACAGAGAAGAAGAAGAAGAAGTAGAAGAAGGAGGAGGAGACGTTTCTTAATTTTTCATTAAAATCACCACTTTTTGACCGCTTATATCTCCAGAACGGCTTGACCGATTAAAAATTTTTTTGGCTCAAATTACTCATGGTGATGCAGCCTTTCAGGACATATAACGTTTGATTCAAAATTTTTTATATTTTAATAGTTATGCACCTCCCAAAAATGGACTTTGATGGCTCGGGATAAGAGATTTGTAGCGTCTCACAGTTTTTGAACATGGCCGAAGACGCTACCGCGTCTCCTGATCCAGCATGTCAGCTACTTTATCGATTCTGGATGAATTGTTGTCTACTATTTTTGCGAGCTTCTCTATACTGTTTCTAATGATGGCAAAAGCCTGGACGTGGTCGTGTGCACTATTGTTATATACACTGTTATGAAGGTTATACATATTTGGATTATTCTGAATGGGTGAAGCGTTCAGATTATTATTAGAATTTGGCTTTAGGGAGTCAGCAAATGATACGTTTTCCTTAACGAGTGGGTTTGAAAATCTTCTGTTTATACCAACCTTATTACTGCTTGTGTTTTGGTTAATAGTATTGGCTCTGCTTAAGTTACTGACGTTTAATATTTTCTTTTTACTTTTCATAAGAATTGGGCAGCCTCTATAGGAAGCTGGGTGTCCATAATTATTGCAGTTGATACAAAAGAGCTGATCTTTGTTTATTAATATACCTGGAGAGCTGCTACATTTCCCAGGATCATGCTTTACATTACATTTTACGCAACGGTATGGGAGATTACAATTTGCTGCTGCGTGACCGATGCGTTGATATCTTTTACATTGGAGAATATCTTTTTTAATTAATTTGTCCCGTGTAATAATTTGATGGAACATAAGTTTGATTCTCTTTAGATTATTGATATCACTATCTGGAGTAACCTGTATGACAAATATTGGCAATAAGACTTTGTTTTGTTTAGATTTATTAGTAGTAAACCTAACTACTTTAATGATTTTCACGTTTGGAGTGTTAAGCGATTCTAGTTCGTTAAAATATCCTTTTCGTTATAATCTGAAGCTAGTCCCTTAAGCAAAAAGTTCAATGGTTTTTAAGATTTGACAGTATATGTATAAAACACGAGGTTAGGTGATAACTTAAACTCGTTACTGCCAAGCTTTATTTCCCCTTTTTTTATAGGAGAGATCTTTTTCTAGAAACTTGCATTTTGGAGATGGAAAAGTTTCTTTGTATCGATTGTAAGACCTTCAACGGAGGAAGGTAACGGGATATCTTGTAACTGCTCTCCTTATTTGGAGGTTATAATGTGCTGTACAGGATCAGGATCGTCAATTAACTCAGCCCAGTCATTGTGAATATTCACGGAAGCTGTGTGATCGTTTATCTTCACGGTGGACGTGATGTATACTTATGAAATATAAGTTGGAACGAGAATTACGATATTGTCGTAGACACACACACGAGACCAATGGTCTTCAAAGGCGCGCAGTTGCCAACTCCCATTACGTATATATGCAACAAAAGAATATATACTTTATGTATGTTTACTTTGAACTGGCACTTTCAATAATATATGAGTCATTTTTCATGGTAATATGTATGGAAATACACCGTTCGGATACCATTACCAAGAAAGAGAAATCATAATAAATTTCTTAATACTAAACATTAGAAAGAAGCATAAATGATGTAAAAGAAGACTATTCATTCTCATTTTTATGTACGTTTATTATAAAGTTAGCTATACATAGTGTTTAACCTGTAATATGACTTCAGGTTCGTTATTG